TTTGTTTAAGGTTGCTTTCTTGTACTATTAACTGTGTTACTGGTGCTTCTAGCTCTATTTTGTCTTTGTTTTGCTGAAATTTGTTTTCTACTATCTTGCTAATTGATTTTTTTCTCTTTTTCTTATTGGAGCTATTGATTTCTTTTTTTGCTATTATTTTCTTTTTTTACACAAGTCTCCTGACCAACTAGTTGTGATATTGGTAGTTCAAACTTCATTTTTGTTTTTATATTTTGTACTTCTTCTTTATTATTGTATATCATATCTTGCATACTGTTTTCACTTTCTTTTCTCTCTTGGTTAATTAAAACCTTTTTCTTCATTGTTGTAATTTTTTTTTTGACAATATTTCCACACACTTCTCTATGTTTGTTTACTAAGACTCTTATAATATATACCTGTACTGAGTCGCTTGCACCTAAGAAGTTTGTTATATCTATATCTATTTTTGCAATATGTTTTTTTTTGCTTGTTTAGATAGGTATGCTTTTCTGGTATTGTTCTTTGATTTAGATTATACAAATCTTTAATTTCTGCCATCACTATTTTGTTATTAGTTGTTTGTTTAACTTAATCTAACTTTGTTCTAGAACTTTCTAAACTAATTACTAATCTAATAACTATGTATGCTTTTGTTTGTAGTGCCTTATTTAGTAGTCACATTCTGTATTGGTTGAGTGTTTGAACATGTGTTGCTTTGTTTATCTGTTTGTTTACTCTAATTACATAATTATTTACTATATAATTTGTTTACATATTGATCGATCAGCTTTTTAGAATCACAGCTAGTTTTTAAATTTTTTTAAAAATTTTTTAAAAATTTTTGAAAAGCCTTTTGATATTTTTAATGAGCTGCTTCTCTAAGAAGTTGTTCTAGTAAACTTATGCTGTTTTTATGTTTTTTTTCTTTTTTTTAGTAACAAAAAATCTGTTTCTTAGAATAAATTTTAAGTAAACTTTGATGTATTCTTTTTCTATTTTTGTAAAAGTGAGATTAATAGAAAGAGTTATTGAATTTGATTACACTCTCTTATTTTTTTTTTTTTTCACTTAAATAGTCACACTGGTAAACTTTTATTAAGAAAAGATTAATATTGCTGTTAATACTACAAACTTAATTTCTTAGTCCCAACTCTTCCAGCTGCTTCTTTGAGTGCCCAGGAATGACCTACTGCACCAGACAGTAACAAGTTACTACCTGAAAGATCACTGCCCTACAATAGAGTATTACCAAACGGATAACACTTTCTCGTAAGGAAATGAAAGAAAAAAAAAAACACTAAACTAAACTAAAAAGGGTTATAGAAAGAAAAAGAAAAATAAAAGTGTCAGGAGGCACATCTTATTTGTAACTATTCCAGTACAGTTACTAATACTTTAAACCTGTGCTAATAATCTAACTACACTTTAACCTGTGCTAAAGAGGTAAAAATTCTATATATATAATTTTAGAAATTACTATATATCTCTAATTTACTATAATTCTCCAAGTTAAGTTCTTTTTCATTTCTTCATTACATCATATGTTAGACTATACATATGATTGTTGTATTTCTATTGCATCATGTTACAATACGTAACTGTTTGAAAAAAAAAGTAAACAATGCTGATCTTTTGTAGAAGAGAGCTAAATTCTCCACTTTTAGGTAAAAAAAAATGAAATTGATAGAAAAGGTTGACAAGTATGATATGCAAAGAGCCAAACTAAAGAGAGTATTTCCAGTTGTTTGTTCTGTTTTCAAGCTTCTAATAACCTTTAACCAGAGTTTTCTCTATTGTTTTCAGAATTTCCTTCTGGTTTGGATACTAAACATATTAAAGAGTCTGCCTATAGCAAGGTTTGACCTCAACACAAACTACTAAAAGAGTTGTTCTTACTTTGGTTTTTCATATACTTTTAGTTTATTAGCAACAATCTGCTTTATATATTAGAACAAAAGCAAAGATTTTATCTACTTAAAAACATAACTCTTTAAACTGTTTTGATGCTAGTTTGATTTAAATGATCATTGAAAAGAGTTATTACACTTTCTTATTATTATTAGTTATTATTATTATTTTGTTATTATTATTATTTAGTATTAGTTATTTTATTATTGTATTATATATTAGTAGTTGCTAGAACTTTCTAATTACTTAGTAATTGTTTAGTCACTTAATTGTTTAGTTATTTAGTTATTTAGTTGCTTAGTTATTTAGTTCCTTAGTTGTTTAGTAATTAGTTACTAAATTATTTAATTGCTTAGTTGCTTAGTTATTTAGTTACTTAATACTAAGTTATTTAGTCACTTAGTTACTTAATTGTTTGACCACTTAGCTATTTAATTACTTGATCACTTAATTATTTAATTTACAAATATATAAAACCTGCTAAGTTCTTTAAATCTGATTAAGTAACAAATACTTTTTTTTTCTTTAATATTATAAACACATCTTGAGATTCTTTAAAAACAAAAACCTAAAATAACCTTTCTTATTATTACTTTAATAAACAACTTTCAACTATAAACTGTATTGATACTTCTTTTTTAAAATAATTCTTACAAGCAAAGTTTATTTTCTTTTAGTAAAATAAAGTAAAGTTAGTAGTATTACATTATTTTGAACATCATATATATCTATAAGAAATTTCTGTATTGTGTTATCATTATAGTGTAAAAATTAAGAAGACTTTCATCTATAACAATAGTTTGATCTTATAAATCAGTTGAAATATACTAAAATAAAATTAAACTATTTACTATGATTTTGTTTTAACAAGTTAAGCAAATTGGATTACCTATTTGAAGATAAAAAGATAAAATATTGTTAGCTTGTCCTTTAGTAATAACATTTTTAGTTACTTTTTTTCAACAAGTTGATGAATCTCTTAGACATATAACAATTATGCAAGATCCAGTAATAGGCATTTTGTCTTATAAACAAAGTCTTTCAAATTTTGAATTAATTTTAACAGTAAATATTAACGTTTGCTTAAAGCTAGGAATGGCTTTCAGAGTGATTTTTTTGTTAGTGAAACATTACATTCTCCAAAAGTACTTTAAAGTATATAAATAAGTTACCTGGGCAATTGATTTACATCAGCCAATCAGAAGAAAGTTGTCTTATGAAGTATTGGTAAAATTGAAAATTTCGTACGTAATTCCGGTTTGTTGATTTACATAAAAAGTCACGTGAGTACGACCCTTAAAAAAAGGTATCTATACTTATTATTTATATCTATATATCGATATCGGCTCATTTTTTTTTTACTAAAAAAGGCATTCCTACCTAATGTCCATGATTATATCAAAAACTTTTTACGAATATGATATAAAAAGGAGGAAAGTTGTAGCAAGAAGAACGTTAATACTAAAAATGAATTTACATAAAAAAGGCGAACAGTTCGAAAAAGAATTCACACAACCTTTTTAAAAGCAGTAATGTTGAATTATGTTAAACGAAATGAGTTTTCATTGAGTTGCTGTTGAGTTACTATGTATCTAAAGTTATGCTGTCACTAGAAGTAAATCAGAGAATTGAAAGCTCTTTGTGGCCACAGCCTGTCGTGAATGTTTTTTTCTGTTTTCGAAAAGCCGGCTGACATATGTATCGGGGCCTGTGATGAATAAGATACATGAATTATATCAGCTGACATATGTATCGGGCAGGGACCTGCAATAATTTGGATATCAAATTGTAAAAATTTATTTGGGTATCGACTGAAATTTGGATAAATTTGGGATAAAAAATTTAAATAGTATCCAATATTTGGATAAAATTTGGATAAAAATTTAAATATTTAGAATTATTTGAATATCGATTATTTAAAAAAAATCATTATTAACCAATCAAAAATAAGATTATCGTATAACCCAAGACCCTGCTTTAAAATTTATTATTTACGTTGATTAAAATAAAGCATATTCAACATTTTTAAAGAATCTTCGCTTAAATTTTGCCTGTCATCTTCTAAAACATTATTATAAACAGAGAAACTTCTCTTTACAGTACAAGAAGAAATGGGCAACCAAATATAAATCAAAGCTATCTTACTTAAAAGTGGTAGTGAAGAAGATATTTTGTCTCAAAATTCACCTAAATTATTAAACTCAACTAAAGTTAAATCTAAATTACAGTAAAATAACCATTCTCTTAACAAAGCATCTGAAGAATCTTTTAACTCAAAAATCTGTGTTGAATAATTTTGAATATTGCAGTTAGCAATAGTTAATTTTACAAATCGTGGATCAAAAATTTGCATAGCAATAAAAAGAGAACGGGAAGGATGGTATAAAAAGTGATTATTGAATTTCGTATAAGCAGAAGTAAAAGCCATTTGAAATACACTATTAAAAAGACTCGGATCTGACCCAAGATTTGTAATACAGGAATTTACTTCACCTCCAAAATCAGTATTTAATTCGCCACTTTTCAAAAAACTTTCGAGTTGTTGAATCCTACTTTCGATGTATGGGATCACAGATTCATTTTCTTTTTGAAAAAACTTAAGATCAAAAATAAATTTTTCAGCATAATGCTGAATAAAGGTCAAATAAATTCACAATCGTCCATTTTCGTCAGGATTATTAAAAACATCAACAATTTTTTTGATTGTTTCAGATGGTTCAATTTGCAATTCATCGTTATAAAATTCTTGCATATAGTCCAAATAATTGTGAACATAAAATGCCATTCTAAACCAAGTATCTCAATGAGTTGCAGCTGGTAATGGTATAAATTTAAGTGAAGGACTTGATTGTTGATCCAATCCATGCTGCATTAAGCAATTCATATAGCGAGATCTATAAGCTTTAGAATGTAAAAACGTTTTTTTGATATTTGAAATAAATGTTTTAACAAGATCAAAATGAAAAATTGACAGCCACGATTCTCTAAAATAATAAAATTAAATTTTATTAATATATATTGATAAATAATAATACCATCGTTATAATGATAATTATTATTTACCCAATTAAATTTACAATATGAGCTGAGCAAGTATTATGCTTTAATTGTTACATTATAGGACTTATAGCTTCATGAAAACATTTCTTTATATACGAAGCAGAATCAGTAACAAATAACTTTGAAAGTGTAAAAGAAATATTCCATTCAGTTAAAAGACATAAAACAAGACCACTTATAGTTGAATAATTCACTTGTTGCAAATAATCAACTGATATAAGTTTTGTTATTCCTTGATATGAAAATAATGTGTTAACTACACTACACCCTTTTACATCGGTTGTCTCATCGATTATGATTGCAATAGATTTTTCACTAAATATGCAACGTAAATCTTTTAAATGTTCGTCAAAAACTTTTGGCAAATATGATCGACGTAAAGTACCAGCCGAAGGTATACAACCACCCTTTTTACAGTACATATTTAGAAAGCTGCGAAACTTGTCAAGTTTTTCAATTGGTATGTCTGCCTCAACCCATGCTGTAACAATTGTTTGTCTCTCATATCAGGATTTAACTATGAAAACACAAATAGGTTTTTCTCCTGCTTATCGAGCAAACTGCGCAGTTTAACTAGGATCAGTTTCTCTTTATATCTTTTACATGACTGTCGTTCCGACAGGTCAGTGAAAAAAAAAAAAAAAAAAAAAACTGTACATGTATAAGGCTGTTTCTTAATAGGTCACAAGAAAGAAAACATAACATATGACTGTCGTCCGACAGGCCATAATACAAAACAAAATATTAACCAGGTCCGGCCTAACCCAGCATGACTGTCGTCTCGACAGGCCCCGTTGAAAGACTACCTTGATTTGGGCAGGAGGGGTGGGATCGATGTAACCAGATCGAAAATCGGATTTTTGCAGAAGAAACAAGGCTATCTCTACCTATCTACCTTAACGACCCTAATATATACTCAACGATTACTCACCGATTACCTCATAATTACCCAAGCTTTCCATTTATACAATACTGATCGATTACTTACTAATTACCTTATAGCCATACTAAACGCATAACTATCGAATACCCGAAAGAGACAATTACCTCATACTTACTAAATCTTTGAATCGAACATGTGACTGTAATCGGGCATGTCACATGTCTGAACCCGAGTTGATTCGAGACAAACACTGCCTCGATACTTACGTATCGAGCAGTTATGATCACAAATAATTTATTTTTTTTTGTCTGCCGCAGTCAAAGATGATGGGAGACATTGTTGCCGGGTTTTATTTCTGGAGTTTAAGTATGCTTCACATTTATTATTATGCACTTTACTATTTATGTGTGCAGTGATAAAAGCTTTATTTTGGTAATTAATGCTGTGGTTACAGAAACAGCACATAAGTTTCCCAGAATCCAAGACAAAGTCTTCCGAAAACTCTTGTGCACGGCTAGCAGCAGTGACTTTTTTAGGACCCATTTTTTTTTTTTTTTTTTTTTTATTCGTTTATATTCAAAAAAAAAAATGTTTGTACTCAAAAAAAAATCATTTCACTTTTGTGCACTCAAGACTTGGTGCTTATGATGAGAATTAACTTGAACGTTCCAGAAAATTGAATAATTTATATATTGTTACTGGCGGATCGATTGGCACACACACACGCAATTAGCAAGAAAGGCGACGAATTGTCGCTTGAAAAACGTAACGTTCCTCGACGTTCTAGAGGCGGAACGATTTGGCACAAGGTCAAGGCGGACGATAAGAAGCGTTACAAGATAAGGACGTTTCAAAAAGCGATTTATTAAATGGGTTTGGCCTTTTATTATTTCTTTTAAGAAATTAGAGAATTTCTTATTTACAGTTTTTATTTATTTACAATTTTTTTAGGGCGGGAAGGGCACCCTTTATCAGAGGTAACTCTACGGTCTATTTATAATGTTTTTCTAAGAGATTCTTCGAATGTTCTCTTATGCTTTCTCACACTATTTTCCCATAGGTCCTAGTTCGTTATTCCTTTTTGATTTAATCCTTTATCCCTGCTTTTTCACAGCCTTCACGCCTCGCTCATTCAATGCTTCCTTTTCACCTTCCAACCATCGTTCTTACTCTCACAACTTATTCAATTGAATGAAGGCACACCCACACGGCCACACGCTATACCCGACAAGGCAATATTAACTCATTGACTTATTTTAGCCTTTACTTTTGTCAATCGGGTCAATGCATATTACTTTACCATTTTCGGACTGTCAACGGTGATTGTTCCGGGGGCTTAGCGATTACGGTCACGATTCCGTGCAGCATCGATTCGGAACTCCACTATTCCTTTATTTTAGGCAATTCTTTGGGGCCGGGGTAATACAGGTTTGCCACTAACAATATTAATTGGGCATGTATTTTGATTGGCCAGATCACATGCATCCTAAAATCGGTCAAAAATTTGGATATAATTTGGCCAAATTTTAAAAAAATTTGGAATAAGCACAAAAATTTGGAAATTTGGAAATTTGGTACTAAAATTTGAAAAAATTTGGAAAAATTTGGATCCAAATTTTTGCAGGTCCCTGGTATCGGGATATAATTTTTGGTAATTATGACACAAATACTTATTTATATTCTTTTATACCAAATAGAAAGGGGCAAGAGATGGTGGAATCGATCATTTTGGTTACAGGAGATATACAACTCTTGGCCAGTGCAAAGTAAGTATTATGTTTTAAGTCAAATAATTCAAAAACTCAAAGCTTATGATTATAGAACTCAAAGCTTATCATTATAGAACTATCCCAAACCCATAACTATCTATAATTATCTATTTATTTATATCAAGAGTATTGATATCGGATTTTGGTGAATGTGAAATTTTAGACCAACTCTCTGAACGTGATAGAACTAGTGCTAGTGCTACTGGAGCACTAGAAATTATGGCACCAGAACTATTAACCGGTAATTACAACGTACAATAAGTATATCATGTATTAAATCTATATAAATATTTAGTTAATGAAATCTTTATATATTTTATATATATAGTTGATGAAAGAGGTCGTTATTTTTTAAAGAATACTCAAAAATCAGATATGTGGTCACTTGGAATGGTACTTTATTATTTATGTTACTCAAGGCTTCCATATTATCAAATTGAAGATGTTGATATGTTGAAACAAGAAATTATACATTTTAATAGGTTAGTATTTTTTATTTTCATTTTAATAACCTTATACGTAAAATCACGAAATAGCGGAACCTTATAACCTTATGTGATGCATAATACACCTTTATTGACTATATTTTATTTAAATCATTTAAGCGTATCCTTTCCAGATAATGGTATGACTAGTAATCGTAGGATTTCTAGTCAACTTAGAAATTTAATTACATGCTTATTGTCTCGCAATGCTAAAAGTGGCCATCATGTGATGAGATTTTAAAATCTGCTGGTGACTTGCGTTCCATTTTTATTAGTATGGAGACCATGAACGTTTACTATGAAGTAACGATCGTAACTATCTTATTATAAAGTAGTTCAACAAAAAATGATTATTTTTTTTTAAAAAAAAGCTATTAATTAAATTTTAATTTTATATTTCATATCATGTTAGGATCCACTCCCATATTAGATAATGATATAAGAACTTCAAATTCTTCACATGAAAGTTGTTCACATTTAGAACATGAGAAACTTTCACGAATTCCATCAAATACTAGTACAGTTACAACAAATCCTAGTAAGGTGCATTCTATTTTAATTCTCAACCTTTTTTTTCCTCCTCTCTCGATTTTATCGTATCCAATTTCAATGTAAAAAACCTCGGAATCTGCTGATGATAATGAAATGAATCAGAGTTAAGAAGACGAAAAATAAATGTTGAAGCTACTGATAAGATATCAATAACACCGAATATTATTAATACTACCGTTGAACCTGATTTTGTTGTTGAACAGGTAATTCTGTAATTTGTAAAGTTTGTTAAAAAAATTACCTCCTATTATTTGACTAATTTATTCCTCATTATTTCACTGTTGACATTTATTATATAATATTAAAGAATGGACCATTTCATGAAAACTCGACAGCAGCAATTCATTTGTCTTCATCTCCAATTTTGATATCACGATTACCATATATCATTTATTCATATATATTTGAAGACATTAGCTGGTGGAAACTTTTAAAACTTGTTATTATGGTTTTAAAGGTCATTACATTGTCATTATGATCTTCTTATTTGTTTAATACATACTTTTTTAAAATATATTTGTCATGTTTATTAAATTTTTATTGAATATAGGTTATAACATGTTTAACACCTTGTTCCCCTTATTTACCTTCACCTTGGGTACTTTATCCTATCCTTATTTTCGCAATATTTGGCCTTTTGTCATAAATATTAAAAGTATTAAAGTGTCTATTTTTGGTGCGAATAAACTTTTTTTTCATTAACTTTTTCATTGTATCGATAATATTTGAAATAATTATAGTAAAAAGAAATCAGTTAATTTAATATTGAGTATTTTGTACATATCATGGATGGTAATGTTGAAAATTAATCGATTAACATAGAAACTAATAATTTAACCAATTTGGATAATCTAAAAAAGTTATCTGGTATATATATGTATAGTATGTATATTATTATTTGCTAATAAATTTCGGCGCAAGTATTCATGTATTTGAAAATATAGGCTGTATTGTCACTTCTGATACATCATATTTTATAAAATAAATTAAAAGGCTTATTAATAATATTAAATCTAATAACTGTTATTTTAAACTATATTTTTAGGATTATATATATATTAAGGTTTAAAAATAAATTTATTATATTTTAATTAAATATTTTTTCTTATCAATTTACAAAAATATTTATATTATATAGTTTTTAATTTATAATTTTTTTTTATATTCAAACTATATTTTGTCTATTAAGTAAAAATGTTCTTTATATTATTTTATATATAAGATAAAAATTTTTTAAAATTTAAAAAAATTTTTATCAGATAATTTATAAATAAGTACTTGTAAATATAAAAAATATAATGATTTTTTATATAAAATATACTTATATAACAAGTTT